TCTTTTCTACATGGTGTATGGTCAAGGAGAATAGGCAACAATAAAAATTAGAAATCGAACTCGTTCCGAGTGCTCAACTATGCTTGCGCGACGGCCGATAGCTCAGCTGGTAGAGCGGAGGAGTGTAGAGTTGCAGCAATCCTCAGGTCTCTGGTTCGAATCCGGCTCGACGGAGCATTTTGTAGAATGTTGGGCTTCGTTCACGTGAAAGAAGAAGCAACGAAAACTGCTGAGGGAGTGGAAATTATTCTTTTCTAGATGGTGTATGGTCAAGGAGAATAACGTTCACAGAAAGTACAAACTCAAACACTTTGAGTGTGCTCAACTAAGCTGGCGCAACCGTCGATACCTCAGATGGTAGAGCGGAGGAGTGTAGAGTTGCAGTAATCCTTAGGTCGCTGGTACGAATCCGGCTCGACGGAGCGTTTTGCAGAATGGTGGGCTTCGTTCACGTGAAAGAAAAACCAAAGAAAACGGCTAAGGAAGTGGAAATCATACTTCTCTACGTGGTGTATGGTCAAGGAGAACTGGCAGCAATAAAAATTAGAAATCAAACTCATTCCGAGTTCTCAACTAAGCTGGCGCAACCGTCGATATCTCAGTTTGTAGAGCGGAGGACTGTAGAGTTGCAGCAATCCTTAGGTCGCTGGTACGAATCCGGCTCAACGGAGCGTTTGGCAGAATGGTGTGCTTCGTTCACGTGAAAGAAAAAACAACGAAAACTGCTGAGTGAGTGGAAATTACGCTTTTCTAGATGGTGTATGGTTAAGGAGAATAGGCAGCAATAAAAATTAGAAATCGAACTCGTTGAGTGCCCTCAACTAAGCTGGCGCAACCGCCGATATCTCAGTTGATACAGCGTNGTAGAGCGGAGGACTGTAGAGTTGCAGCAATCCTTAGGTCGCTGGCTCGAAACGTGCTACACGGAGCGTTTTGCAAAATTGTGGGCTTCTTTCACGTGAAAGCAAAAACAACTAAAACGGCTTAGGAAGTGGGATTTATTCTTTTCTATTTTTTTTTTTTTTTTTTTTTTTTTTTCTCAATAAAAATTAGAAATCGAACTCGTTGAGTGCCCTCAACTAAGCTGGCGCA